ATCTTGAAGGAAGGAGTCTCACCTATCAGTGTTTGTCCATACCGTTATCCCCAACTCTAGAAGGATGAGATCGAGAGATTGATCAAGGAGATGTTGGAGAAAAGGATCACTCGATGCAGTGACAGTCCATTTTTTAGCCCAATGCTATTAGTTCAATGCTTCAATAGCAGTTTCCTTCGTTTCACCTTGAGGACAAGGTAACACTTTGGGAGGGGGGTATTGATGGACCGGCTGAGCCTGTGAGCCCCACTAGGGTGGGGTGTAGGCGAGGAGAGGGGGCGGGGGGAGCGCTCAAAGGGGATTAATTACTTACCATAGAAGATAAAAATTGGGAGGGAATTGGGAATATTTATTTAGGGAAAGGGGGCTGTTTTGATTGGGAGGGAATTATGAAGTTTCCTAATCAAGAGGAACTTATTTAGAAAGGTTCTTAATCAAGGGAGAATTGCTTATGAAAGTTTTAATTATAATTGGGAAGGAATTATTTAGGGCAAAATATCTAATTTGAATTAAAAATCTAATAAGGAATTATTTAGTGAAAATGAGGAGGAATTATTTATAAAAGTTTAATTACAATTGGGAGGGAATTAATAAAGGAAAGATATCTAATTTGAATTCAAATATAAGAGGGAATTATTTAGGAAAAGGAGGCTGATTTGAGAGGGAATTACGGGAGCCTATTTAAGGCTAATAATATGTATTTTGGATATTACGTGATTTATATTTGTTGTAGTCTTTTTTGAGAGGACTCTAGCCGGCGGCCAATGATGACTACCATTAAAGGATCCCTTCTGATGTAGGACAAGAAGCTAATGTGCTTATGCCAATGATAACTCCTGCAAGTGCAAGAGAGCAAGTAAGAAGACTTATGCTAATGATGAACCATACAAATACAAGAGAGTAAGGTATAGTGCTTATACTAATGATGACACCTACAAAGGTAGGAAGCAAGTTGATCTGTTTTTGTGAAGGATGAAGCCTATAGATGTAGGAGATCAAGCTACAAGTTTGAACCAAATAATGCCTCCTATGTAATTTGATCTTGTGAAATTCGATGTGCACTGATGAAAAAATGAAATGTGCATATAATTACCCTATTTTTTATTTTTTATTTTTTATTTTTATTTTTTATTTTTTTTAATTACATACAATTACCCTAGGTAGAATACTTGTGATAATGATTAACAATGCAAATGTGGAAGAACATGCTATAGTTCTTATGATAATGATGACCCCTACCAAGGTAAGAGAGCAAGTTCATGGCATGCATGAATGATCAACCCTACAAAAGCAGGAAAACAGGTTACTAGCGTGAGACCAAATGATACCATATGTATAATTAGATCAAGTCAAGATTAATGTGAAGTGTGAAAGATTGAGATGTGTATATAACTACCCTACATAAAAAAGTACTTGTGTTAATGATGAAACCTGCAGATGCAAGGGAGCATGCTATTGTGATTATGCTAATGCTGACCCCTATAAAGGTAGGACAACAAGTTGATATGCTTCTGTGAATAATGAACCCTGTATAAGCAGAAAATCAAGCTACAAGCTTGCAAACAAATGATGCCAACTTTATAATTAGATCATGTCAATTTATTGTGAAGTGATGAAAGAATGAGATGTCCATAAAACTATCATGCATAAAATATTTATCCTATGATGAACCCAATAAATGCAGGAGAGCAAACTGATCTTGTGTGATGCAGGAGGGCAAGCTATAAATTCGTGACCAAATAATACCTCCAAATAAATTACCATGTTAGTGACAAAAGAACGGGATGTGCATGTAAATACCTCATACAGAAATGTATGACCAATATATGTTAACAAATGCCCAATATATTATGATTAAATATCATAGTTGTGCATCTTAATCCTCTTTTATAACAATTACATGTAACCTGCTGAGCTATATGTTTACAAAGATTTTATATAATAATACTTCATACATCATTTTATATAACAAAGATTTTATGTTCATAAAGATGAGGATGCTCAGGTGGATGAGTGGCATCACTCTTAGAGACAGCATGCGGAATGAGTATATACGTGAAACTGTTGGAGTAACTCTAGTGGCAGATAAGATTAGGGAGAGTCAGCTTAGATGGTTTAGTCACATAAAACGTCGGCCTTCTGATGACTCGATTAAGAGAGTAGATGCATTAGATTTAACTTATGTTAAGACAGGTAGAGGTAGACCTAAAAATATTTAATAAGAAAATATTAGAAATAACATTTTTATTAGATTTAAATAAGAATTTAACTCTTAACCTAACACAATGGAGACAAAATATTCATGTAGCCGACCTCACATAGTGGGATAAAAGCTTGATGTTATTGATGTTGATACTCTATACATCACCATAAATTCATCGAATCATTCATGGGTAGAAACTCTAAAAACTTACTTCAAGATTAATTAAACTCCATTTTCAACAAACATAAACTTGAGATAGTACAATTAACAATATGATCTCAACAAGACAGAATACTTAGATCTAAATTCAAATGGACCCAAACTATGCCATCTAAAGGCCATTTGAGGAACAAGATTTTGTGTGCTTATGTACGGACAAGCATATCCACGAGAGAAAATTGATAAGCCCAATATCACTCATTTTTTAGTTAATTAATGCACCAAAATGTCAAAATAATATCAAATAATCAAGGGATACATTTTTGAATCGTTCCATGGATAGTCGATATTTTTAGAAGAAATGACCAAAATACTCGCTCTCAAATATATAAATAGACCTTTTTTCAATACAATCATAGGGAGAAATTTTTGGTGGAAAGAATTTCCATACTAAATAATTTCAGAGCTCTGCTTGTCATCTTCAACGTTGACGCCCATCTTCGCCAATGCCTATTACATCATTCATCAACCAATGTCAATGCCAATCCTCACCATTGCCTGATATTGTCTGTCAACCAACCTCGATGCCAATCTTACCAATTGTAGAGTTTCCCCTCCTATCAAGGAAACAATCAAGCCAACAACCGATCATCGGACACAATTTGTCAACTAGCATTAATGCTCATCTTTTGAATCACCAAAACTGGACTTCCATAAGGAGAGAACCAAACTGAGCGACTGTCGAAACCTAACTTTAGACATTTCTTATTACCATGACTTAATGCCTACCAATAATTAACTGACATTAGTCGACCATCGACATATAACATTTGCCCGGCCCCAACATCTGATGCTCGTCATACCAATCGGTTGTTTTCCCCTCTTATCATAAGAAAAAATGAATCAAGCGTCGCCCAATTTCTGATGTTCCCTATCGACCGTCATCGGAGGATTGTAAGCCACTGATGTATGAACTCTATTTTACCTGTTGATAAGTCTTCCCTCCTATCAGGAGAACCAAACTGATCTCACATTGTGACTTCTGCCATTCCCTATTGACTTTTCACCTCATGCTAACCACCAACGGACATTAAACATCTATCAACCATCAACATCTAGCACCTTTTTAACAATTAATTGGTCTTCCACCTATAAAGAGAACATCTAATTAGATCATCACCCAACATTCTTTATTCCCCATCAATCTCCATACACATACCAAATAATGATATTCAATGTCTATCCTCAATCACAATGGACGATTGTCTTCCCGGTCAACTAGCCTTCCTTTTTATAAGAAAAGCAATTAAGTCGGCTACAGACTGTCACATGAATTTTAATGTTCCTAATGAACCATTGCTCGACGTCAACCAAAAACTAATGTCCATCAGCTACTAATATTCAACACCCTGTTTTCCCGGTTACCCAGTCACTGACCAAGCTAACTTTCCAACATCACTTGATGATAACTCAAACACTAGAAAACCCCTACAACCATAACTGAAAATCAATACCATGGTTCATTTCTATCACATTATATTAACTTCTTTTCCATTTACAGAGAAGGATGCCCTTTTAAACATCAACTCATACTAATGGAACCATTTTAAATGGGCTAGACCCCATAAAATTATTTCCTTGAGTTTTCCACATAAAAATCTTGTATCTCATGTGTGATGCTTGCAATATATTTGTGTGTGAAATTTTCGTACGACACTGAGATGATAAACTCTCCTAATACTATGAATGTTCAACATGCAACAATATGAAATGCATGATAAAAGAAAACAGGTTGAGTGAGGTCTGAATTAGAGGACCTGAATCACTACTTGAAGAATGTGATGGTTATAAATGAATACATTACTAAACAGAGTAACTTTTGTATATTATGTGAACTAATGTATATAGATGATGTGACAAGTATAAGTTATGTGTATAAGTGTTTGAGAGGACTTGATCTAAAATGATTTAAAAGCTTTGTTATGGTGATAATGGCTCTATAAATGACAACAAAAGTATGACATAAGATGAATATGATAAATAGTTATTATTTAATATTTTTCTTCCTAGACATTTGCAAGAGGATGTACCATGGTCTATTCTTTTTGTTGATAATACTAGAGAGGGAGTTGATAAAAATTTTGAATTATGGAAGTCAAGTAAGAGTCTATGAGTTTTCAATTGAGTATATCTAAAAGTGAACACATGGAGTGTAATTTTAGTAGTAACATATCTAATGGTAGGATTGTGACATTGGGTGATTAAGTCATTAAAACGAGTGCACGTTTTAAATATCTTGGGTCTATTGTTTAAAGATTTACTAAATCCTGAAAAAATAGTCAAATAGTTCATCAAACTTAACTGGACATAGCATGTCATGCCAAATAGCTTTCAGGATTAAACCACTGCAAGATTACTAACTCCTGATTTACAAGATTTACTAAACCCTAGTGGAATTAAATCCTAGTTGTAGTCAAACAGCCCTAAAGAAACAGTAATGCCAAAACTCCGGCTTGATGCTATGCATTACGAGAGGATATCAACACTGCAAGGCAAATGACCTAAATATTCATATGAAGTTAAAAATAAATAAATGAAAAAGGTTGAGCAAGAAGACGGTGGAAAGAATATTACAAACCTTGAGGAGCTCGTTGGCCTCGAGGGTTTCCACCATGGCGGCTGCGACGGTAGGGGTGACACCAGATTTGCCGACCTGCTGACTTTTGAGCTTCTTACCGAGGCTATGGGCATATGAAGCTAATTCTTTCTTCTCCTTGATGGTGAGCTTAGGGGTTGGGAAGGTCGGAAGCGCCGCATTGACGCGTTCGGTCGCCTGCGGCTGCTCAGTCAAGGACTCATCCTCTTCCTCTTCTCCTTCTTCCCATAATTTTTCTGCATCTTCAGTGTCTGAAATTATGGGGAAGCCGGAATCGCCGTGCTCGACTTGACGGTGGAGTTGGGTAGTGAGCACAAAAGAAGACGAGGTTGATGTAAATGGACGCGAAGAGCGAGAAAGGAGGAGAAGCTGAGGTTGTGGTGGGATTGAGGAAGGAAGAAGAAAGGAGGTAGAGAAGAATTTTTGGAGGTAGGAGCACACAGGGCTTGATGGAAAACCAGAGAAGCGAGAGAAAAAGGCCGTCGAAGCCAGCGCCATTTTTCCGGGCGACCACCCCTCGGACGCTCCAGGACTAAGATATCCCTCATAGTCATTATTTATTTGGGATTTACAAACATATCATTTATTTCGTTATATTTACATATCTAACCTCTAAAATTTTAATATTTTATTCCTATCATTTATATAAAATTTTAATATCAAATATATCACTCATATATTTCATTCTTATCGCTCATACCATCCTATAAATTTTAATATTTCATTCCATGCACTCATATTTATTTTATAGATGATAGACATATAATATTAAATTTTAAATATTAGATATATAAATAGCATGAAATAAAATTGTATGCATGTAAATCCCCATATTTATTTTATTAGAAAATATATCTAACAGTTTATTATCGACCTTTTTTTTAGAAACTATATTTAAAATTTATTATCATCAAAATATTATTATTATTCTCATATTTCATTGCATATGAAGAATGTCAATATAGCCTTCTAATTTCAAAATTACTTCTCTTGAAATTATCATAGATCTTAAAGACAAAACAATATATGTTGATAAGAATCGATTTAGCCTAAAATTAGAGGTGGTGTGCCACTTTGGTGGAACATAGTCCGCAAATTCAACTCCTCTGATTAAGCAACCTACAAAGGATTTATGATACAAAAATATTTTTCTCTTGAAAATATCATAGATATTATATTAAAAGTAACATAGGTTGATAAATTATTTAATTTGAAATTGGATGTGATGTACTATTTTGGTGGGGGATGTTTGTAATTTCAATTACTCTAATTGTATTACTTATAAATTATGATCTCTTTTTTTTTTCTTTAATGAGAAATCCTTATTCATTCAACAACAATCTTCCATATATGAATTTAGTGCAATTAAGGATAATGCAAGATTAGTAAGTTTTACATTTTATTTTGGTGTAGGCAATATAATAGCTCATATTTTGATCAAGTCAAATAATCTTTTAGAATTCATTATAAGTGAAGTTTAGAATTCATCTTCGCCATAATTTTTTAGACATATTGTGCTATTTTATGAATATTTTTCAATAAATTTTAGAGCACTGGATTTAAAGGTATAAAATGATTTATATGAATTTTATGCTAAAAATTGAATAATTGTCATAATTACATTTTTGTGCTTAAGATATTTTTTTATAAAAAAATCCTTATATACTACAAACTCTTCATATGCCTTTTTCCTCCATTCGGGATTCGACCAATAAAGAGCATAATCAAAAAATCAAGGGAAGAAGAGAGGAGAGAGGAGAGGAAAGTTAGGTTTTGGAGGTCATAGAGGTTATTTTGCCAATCAATCTTATTGGAAAGTTGTTCATTTCGAGATAGCCTACCTCTAATTTTAATGTTTTTGTATATTTTTTATTTTATGAATTTTAATTTAGTAAAAATTACAAAAGTTAAGATATCTTTATTTTTAGCGAACTTCCATCATGTAATTTTTAGTATGATAATTTTAATCATTCTACACATACTCACAAGAACATATTGAATTTTCATGAGGTGTTTTTGTATTATTGGGGAAATATCCTAATTTAAAAAATTTAGATAAATATGAAAATTGAATAAATAATCGTTAAAATCTCATAATATCAGTATATGATATGCATACTTGTTACATTGGATACATATATGTTGAAAAAGAACACACTGCATTTTTTTTTATGAATTTCACTAATTTTTATTTATATGCAAATTTTACATACATTAATATAATACAATGAGCTAAATATTGAGCATAATATCGCTCATTTATTATGTTATATATACTATGAAATATGTGTTTATAAGAAAGACTATTATATATATCTTGTGAAATATGTGTATGTAAGAAAGATTTGCCTAAAATAATTGATCATTAATTGAAATTGGATGGAGACATATTACTCTATATAAGAAGGTGGGTCAATGGGTTTTTCTTTAAAATAAGATTTATGTTGTAATCCTAAATGATATAACAAGGGAGTCATATGGAAACATATTAGTATGATATGATATGTCAGGGAGCAAGAAGTGATAACTCCTGATTTGAAAGTGACTAATATAAATGACTTGTGATATAATTGATTTATAAAAATAGTATTAGACATGAGAATAACACTATAGATAATTGGATGCCTTATTTTGCTTACAATGCTTGCCTATACATATGATAGGAGTTTATATATGATAAATTGCATAATTAACATGTTATAATTTGTATTTTATATAGGTTATGATTGATACACCTATATGGTAAGACTAATAATATAGATACAAATGCATTTGATATATATGAATCACTTGATTTACATGATATATATGAATATCATTGACATTATATGATATGCATATGAATTTAACAATCATACAAATTTTCTAAATTAAGATATATAGAAATTATTCTATAACTAATGGTATAAAAATAATAGAATTTACTAGCCCCTTATATATGGTTACCAGTTAATGATCACTGCTCTTAATATACATAGTTATACTCATGTTTACTGATCATATGACCTGATATTATTTTATTTATTGTTATATGCCCTCAGAGTTCTATATTCATATTGATAGTAATTGAATAATTACATGTATATTGTTTCTATTATCTTGTATTAATTTGAATTTTAGATTATGGTAAGCTACTCAGTTGTTAGTTCACTTTGTGATTTTATATATTTTTAGGAAGGGGTCAGAATCCAAGGGAGTGAGACAAATTTAAGATTTATGTTTTATTTTATTTCTATATTTTTGTAATTTTTATTCTTTTATAGTCAAGAATTAAAAGATAAACTGATAAATATAAAGATTGAATTCTTGGCTATTGTACATTAATTTTGAGGGATGAATATAGTTTTATATTTTGATATATATGATTTTGAGTTGTTTATGTTGGATTGATTTATATTGATGAATTTAAAAGGAACTCTGGTTGATTGATAAAGAGATTAAAATAAATAAATTTTCTAAAATTTTATCTTGGAAAATTACATGTAATGATGTGGAGATATCACATATAGAAATAGGTGATGATGTAGACATACATCATGTATAAATAGATGATGACGTGGTTATAAAATATACATAAGTAGGTGATATATTGGACATATAAGCTATAGATGATGATGGCATTATAGATGCTTAAATGATAAAGAATGTATATGAGATTACAACTCCAATTTATGATCTACCTAAAACTAGCAGATGGGTGAACATGGGCTATGTTCTTTAATTCTTCATGTAACTTGGGGCTATAAGCATTAATTTAAGCTATAGAGAACATATAAATAATTCGATTAGGGACATAATAAGGCTAGGATAAGGTTCAGATAAGTTTTGAATAGATTTACTTAGGAGAATTATAACAATCTAACTATAAGGTAAATAAGCAAAGTATAACTACAATAGATATAACAATAATATATTATAAGGTCCATTTAACTGAGTGTAAATTAATAGCTATAACACATCATAATGACAAGAATTACATCATTTGAACAACTAATCAGTGACATTACTTTAGTACTTATACTAAATCTAAGTAGTTATAATATTCTTATAATAATAATAAGAGTTACATAAACATTATTATTAAGACAGTGGGCACTTGACCTTACAAGTATCATCGAGAAATGCAACTATGGATAAGTCTTTGAATTGTATTTTATCAAAATACATATAGAATTCAACTCTTTTGTAAGCCATCAAAGCTAAGTAATATTCCTCATGATAACTATTAGTTTTGAACTTTTTTGAGATATTAATTATAACAATGAGCCTTATTCAAACGCAATTTGAAAATGGTTCAATCCACATTCGAATCATATTAAAGTTGTGTTCGTACATGATTCAAATCAAGTTTTCACACCTGTTTTAACAAGTCTCAAAATATACTCTTTGATACTTTATCTAACTCTATACTAGAGCTCTGTCAAAATAATCTAATCTATGATGCACGATATAAATATTAAAAAGCAGTTCCCGTGTACGTTAAAGTTACCAATGACTGAAGAAATGTCGAACTGCACCGCTATGGTCACTCCCGAGAGAAAAAAACTTGAACGAACATACAACGACGACATCAATAAAGAAAGCCGAAGTAGGAAGGACTGAACTTCATTCTTCTTACATAGCCTAGAAGAATAACTTCGATATTTTGATCCTAACGAACCTTCGAGTATTTTTTTCTCGAGGAAATAAATAGCACGCATGTTTATCTTATTTTCATTATGATGGGGCAGCACATTAGGTTAAATTTTGTTTATCATATTTAATTATATTTTGAAATATTATGGTTTTTGAGATTTTAAACTAGCGAATAATTGCAATTTTAAGTAGCAAGGTGCACTCAAGCATGGGAAACTCAACCCAACCAAGTGGCTCCACCTGAAATATTATAGTTAAATTTATTAATATGCAGAGTATTGCTATATTTTTTGAATTTTTTTTTTAAAGAAGAAGAAATATGTGGTTTACTATATTTTATACATTTATATTAAAAAATTTACTAATCCACTATTTCAAATAATGATAGACATAAATTATTACTTGGAGTGCTGGGCTTTTTCAAATAGTTTGCTCACTTAACTTAATCATAAAAGGCCCAATGGATTCTTGATACTTGTGGGCTTTCGTGCTTCTTGCTGTTCATTGGATAAAAAAGAATTGGGATGAAGACATTTATTTCAATTTTTTTTAAGAATATATGACATTTTTAGTGCATGATTTTCATGCTTTACATTACAATTTTTTTTACTTAAAAGGAGTTATTATGAATATTTTAATTGCTACCTTCTAAGAAAATACTACATATAAAATAATTATTTTTATTTTGATTATTTTTTTTTTAATATTTTAAGTAAATTTTGAAGAACATATGGAATATATTTACTATTACTTTTTATGCAAGAGGAGAAGCACAAATTTAGATGCGTTCAATGGTGTTGAGGGGTCATTGGGATCGATCTTTAATGTATAGGTTACAGAGGGAGATAATTTGTTTAGTGGCTTGGAATTAGAGCTATGTTAAGGCAGAGAGAAATATAACTT